TAAACAAAAGTTATTAAATAGATAAATATAAGAATAAATTGTATTAATGTAACTAATATATTATAAAGAAAGATATTACCTCATACTTCTTACTTTGTGTCATTAAAATTATCAATATAAAAAAATTTTAGTTTTAAATAAAAATTGTAGATATTAAAATTATAATTGATATAATTAATATATAAGTATAAATTATATATTTAATGTATATTTTTAAAATAAATAAATAAATATATATATATATATATATATAATATTCGGTATGGAATGAGATGTTTCGATGACAATTTTATGTCCCATCCCGTCCTGATTGTTTTTGAACTAAAATGAGACCTGTCTTAATATGATCAGGATAGAATCAAATCAATTAAAATGGGTATAAATTGAACACATCTAGTGATAAGCAATTGTGCGTTGCGCGCTTATATACATACGTATACATATGTTTGTGTGTATATATTAGATAATGATTCAAGTTAAAATTTTCGTATACGGGGGTGGGTAATTATAAGAAAAATCGATCTGGAAACATACGATAATATCACAACAAAATTAACAGAAGTTAAGGTGTATTCTTCCTTAAAAAAAAAATTCAAAATAGTCACGAGCATCATAAAGAAAATTACAGAGTGACGTAGCACATTTTTTTTAATAATTGGTGTAATGTTAATTTTTATATACTCCATCCAATTAAAACATATAATATCTTTTTCTGAAGGGTTATATATTAAAAAATATAAAATATTTTTAATATTTTAAAGTATAATCGTTACCTTTTTTTTAAGTGCCCCTAATAAATAAATTGCTTTATATTTGTTTTAAGGAAAAATAGCATCTAAACACTACTATGTAAAATTTATATCACATAAAGATTAAATGATTTCATATTTGCTCTATAGTCCTCTAGTCCTTCTTTCATATTAATTTCATAAGTGAAATGACATAATTGCTCCTTATGTTAAAAAACTAAAAAACAATAAATCCCCACCATCGCTGATCGTTGGACTATCACTGACGGCAACATAGCCGGAGCCCTTGCTACAGGCAAGGTTGTCGGTGGCCTGTTACTGGAGCTCCAACACCAGTAACATTTTATTTCAAAGATAATTAGTTTAGGTGGTCAAGGAAGGGTTTGATCCCATGACCCTTAGTCATCTAAAAAGCTTGATGGCCCCTTTAATAAAACATACATAAAAAATATAATTAATAAACCAAGCTCAAAATTACTTTGTAATTGTCCATGTCAGATTAACAAGTAATATTTATAAAATAACAACAATTCATTTGAAATTAACAACAATCTATTATAATTTTAACAAGTTAGAAAAATTAATAGGAAGGATTTAGTTATACATGTTAGTCATTCGTTAACAAGTATTTATTTAATTTTGACAATACATTAGGATGTTTAACAAGTAAAATGAGTCAAGTTTTAAAGCCCTTAATTTATAATTGTCCATGTTAGATTCACAAGTAATACTCGTACAATAACAATAATTCATTTGAAATTAACAACAATCTATTAAGGTTTTAACAAGTTAGAGAAATTGATATGAAGGGTTTAATTATACGTGTTAGTCATTTATTAACAAGTATCTGTTTGATTTTGATAATAATACATTGGGACGTTTAATAAGTAAAATGAGTGAAGTTTTAAAGCTCCCAATTTATAATTATCCATATTGGATTAACAAGTAATATTTGTAAAATAATAAGTTTCGTTTAGAAATTAACAACACTCCGTTATGTTATTATATGGAAGTGATTTTGAGGTTAGTTTATAACTTATATTTTTTTTTGGCTGCATGTTATCAAAGGGTTTAGTGGCTTAATGGCCATTAAGGTTTTTAAGTGGTTACGGGTCAAAGGATCAAACCTTCCCTTAACCACTTAAACCAATTATCTCTGAAATAAAATGTCATCGGCGCTGGAGCTTTGTTGACCGGCTTCCAACGACGAGAGTGGTTTGACGACCAACGATGGTGGAGATTTTTTTTTTAGTTTTTTAACTTGAGGGATAATTTCATCATTTACTTATGAAATTAATATGAAAGAAGGACTAGAGGATTGCACAGAAAATATGAAATCATTTGGTCCTTATATAATATAAATTTTACATAGCGATCTTTGGATACTATTTTTCCTTGTTTTAATGTGAAATACCCTATTAAATAAGGGTAAATATAAAAAAAAATATTAATTTAAAAATAAGTACTATTTTATTGGGAGTGAGATTCAATTACAAATACTTTATAATACTCGCTTTGTCCCAAATTATAAGATATTTTTAGATAAAATCTCATATATCAATAATACTCATTAAATACACTAAACAACCTTATTTTTTTAAAATATAAATATAAATTTTTAAAAATATTCTTCATTTAATAATCTTAAATTTACACCTACTTAATATTAAATAGAGAAAAAAATAAAATTAAAATAAATTTATTTAATAAAATTTTAATTTTTTTAAAGTGTTTTATATTTTAAAATAATAATTTTTTTAAAAAAATATTTTATAATTTAAAATGGAGAGGACATTTCTTAACTGAGAAAGCACATGTCAAGCCATTTGTATAGGCTAGTAGACTTTTTGGGACCTAACGTTGACCTAACACTAAAAGTTCAAGAGGAGCAAAATTACAGCAGTATGATGTTAATTTAAGCACTAAATTACTTCATAATTTTATAGAGGACCCATAGCTTCTCCGGAAATAAAAAATGCATTTTAACTCTATCAATAAATAATAAAGAATTTAAATTCTTATAATAGACTGAGACATAATTAACCTTTATTCAACGACGTTAATAAAAAATATACACACATGGTAATGTAACACAAAATTATTATAGTTATTTATAAGTCATAAATAATACAAATAAAGTTTTACTTGATATATATGCTGGGGCTTTACTTACAGTTAATTTCATATTATAAGAGGGGCTTGATTCAATTAGTAGAGTAATTGAATTATCTCATCCAAGAGTTTTGAATTTGAGTATTGCAATGATATGCAATTACATTAAATAAATATATCAAAAATATATCTATAATATTGGCATTGGTAATATCAGTTTCTCATTATGAGAATCGGATTAATTTACGTGGGAATCAGTTTAATTTAGGTCAGAGATAGTAATATTTCAGGTTTGTAAGGGCGATGAAATAATTATTTTTTTTCATATTATATGAAATCATCGTTTATATATATATATATATATATATGTCTCTGACTCGTTTCTTGGATCTCAGCGCCGATAATGCGGCTTTCCTTTAAACGAGTTTGATGTTAGGTAGATTGAGATCGAACAGGACGATCTAGCTGATGCTGCTTCTGCTGCTGCGTCGTTTGTGTCCAAAACCAAAAACTGTACATTCAATAAACAAACTGAGACGACACAGACGACCCTGCGTTTTTGGGGAAGAGGGAATCCTTTTCTTTCAATTTAACCCTTTCATTGATAGCGATGCTTCTGAGTCTCTTCCCTCTTCTCTCTTCAATCAATGAAACCAACGATAACGCATGAACGCCATTAGTCTTTCTCGGTTCAGTTTCAAGTGGCCACCTTCAAGCCAAGTTAATGAGAGGCAAGCAAGGGGAAAAGATTCTACAAACCTACCTCTTACAGAAGTACAAACCAGCAGAGGCTAGCCACCCAGTCTGCTGGATCGCTGTGATTTGTTTGTATTTTCTCATTTTCTTTTTCCACCGTCTCGAATACATATCAGTTATAGCCTGTGTAGGGCCAGCGATGTGGAGTAGTCAAATCACAATGAGAAACTTTCTTTATTTATAACACTGTTAATGTACTGTTCGTACTTGGATTCAAATCATGATACATGTTATAATATGGAGCTTCTTTTCCTCTAGATTTACTCTCTCTGGGCTGAGACTGATAACAAAGAGCTTGCTAGCCCAACGGAGGCGGAGGAGGAACATGTAATGTTGATGCCCAACTGAATATATATAATAATTTAATAAAACTTTACCGAATTAGGTATACATGCATATGTTTTTATTTTAAAATTAGGAAGGCAGGGACTAACAACTTAAGATTATATGCAGAATTAAGTTCTCAATCTTTCACTTATTAGCGAACTTATATGTTACTAGATTATAAATTATAACGCCATTGACAAGGCATTTATATTTCTTAACTTCATGGTCGCTTGAAACATCTAATGTCCCTGGTATCCTCTTTTTGAAACTATCGAGAGAGTTAGGTATTTTGTCATAAAAAATTGAATTATTACTTTAAATTATATGTTCAATGAAGCGAATAGATACACCAATATGCTTGCTCACCAGGTTTTACAAGAAAACTTTGATATTATTATTTTTAATAATCCATCTCTAGGCTGTCGATTCCTCATGAAATTTAACAAAACCTGATTTCTATTTTTTCTGCACGGATTTTTTTCTATGGCCTTGTACTTCAAAAAAATAAAATAAAAAAAGAAACACCTAGTTTGTTTTTATTGTAGTAGATCATCATCTGTTTGAAAGTTAAGGAATTGGACGAATCTATTTATTGTATCCATGTAACATAACCATATGTGTTAAATGAACTTAAATATATACTTGTTGAGATCACTCCACAGTACAGCACTACTCTCTTTTAACTGCTGAAAACAACGGGTGAGTGGGAAAGCTATCTCACCAGTCCATGCACACGTCCCTTTCTTGCTTCTCTCCCCCACATCTCTCTCTCTCTCTCTCTACACGCCACTCACATATCGGGAATGCCAACCACACATATTTCTATGATATTATGGATGTGCATGCCTGTATAATATATACATGACACACATATACAGATACATATACATGTACACACACACATCATGTTCACATGGAATAATAAACAGAGAGGCCTGTATAAAGAGAGGAAGGAAAGCGGTGTGCGTCTGTGTCACAGCCTCTCTCTTTCATTCCCTCTCATGCTGCTTTCTGAAAGTCCCTGAAGTCTGAACCTCATCATCAAAAACAGCATCATCTCTATCTATATATATATATCTATATCTATATCTATATATCTATCTCTCTCAGGGTTGTGGAGGGTGGTTAAGCTGTCAATCTATCAATCAAGAGAGAGACCAATCCATCAATCAAAGTTTTTGTTTTTTGAATTTTTATTTTCATAAGATAAAGGGAGAAAAAGGGCATACTCGAAGAGATGTCATCCTCTTCCACTACTCATCCCACTTCTGCTACTTCCTCTGCCTTATCTCAGCTGGACCACTTCTCTACTTCTTCCGACCAGCTGTGTTATGTCCACTGCAACCTTTGTGACACTGTCCTCGCTGTATGATTCCTCTTTTTTTTCTTCACTCCCTAGGGTTTGTTTCCCTTGATTAGTCTTTCTCCATTAATTAATGCTTTTTTCTTACTACCCCTCTTTTGATGATGATTCCTTCTTCCCTATATATGTACTAATTACTAAATGCAGTGCCTTATTTTCATTTTTATGTTGTTTTTGCTGATGAGTATTATTGCAGGTGAGTGTTCCTTGCACGAGCTTGTTCAAGACTGTGACTGTGCGATGCGGCCATTGCACCAACCTGCTTCCGGTGATAGTGAACATGAGTGGATTGCTTCTGCAATCGCCAAATCAGTTTCACTTGTCTAACTCTTTCTTCTCTCCTCCTCCTCCTCCGTCTCTTAACATCCTGGTATGCGTGCGTGCGTGCGTGCGTGTCAATTGAGAAATGTATGAACAGAGATAGAGAAATAAAGATGTTAATTAGCAAACCCTAATCGGCACGGCCTCTTGTAATTGCTGATTTTTATGGCAGGAGGAGATGCCGAACTCATCAAACCATAATTACTTCTCTGTGCCTCCTACTCCTAGGGTTGCAGCTGATGAGCTTCCACGCCCACCACTCATAAATAGACGTAAGATTAATTTCTCCTCTTCTCTGCATATACTGGATTGTAGTTTGTGGGATGAGTTCATATTGAATGTCTATATTCTGGCCCAATTATTGCAACCATATCAACTAAACCCTCACTTGCTCTCTCTATATATATATATATGCTCTCTAAAGAGAAAAGCATCAACCCTAAATCTGAAAGAACGGGAATATGCCCAGCTCATCACCCCAATTGACTTAATTGGGACGTAGCTTTATATGTAAAGCACAACCTTTCTGTAAATTTTGCTACCATTTTTGACAGTTCCAAGATCTTTGTAGGATGCAGATTGGAGGAATAGGTTTTTTGTCCTAGGTGCTAGTAGTAAGTTAACCCAAGAGGGGAAAGGGGAATAACTGTGTGATGAACTGATGATAGTGATTATATATATATATGTAGAGAGAGAGAGAGAGGAGAGAGAGAGAGCCCGGATTTGCCTCCACAAGTTCAGTAGATAGCTTGGAACTCTCATAATAACAGTATCAGTGGACAAATTAATTGTTTCCCTTTCGGGCAGAAAGCAATAATGAGGAGATGATGAGAGCAAAAATCTTAAGATGATTAGAATAAGGTTGCAACTAAAGGTCAGAAAATGAAATCTGATGTGTGTTTGGCTGTTTCATTTGCAGCCCCTGAGAAGAGGCAGAGAGTCCCATCTGCATACAACCGCTTCATCAAGTAAGTACTTATTTTGTACCAAAATAACAGCACTCATAAAGTCACAGCTCTCTCTCTCCCCCCTCCCCTCTCTCCACACCCCTCATTAATCTGCTAAATCTTGCTCCAAGCTTAGTTAAGAACTTTGTATATTTTCCATTATTATAGTATATAAATATTGAAGCAAATTTGGATGGTCCACATACATCTGCAGGGACGAGATCCAACGCATCAAGTCTGCAAATCCTGATATAACCCACAGAGAAGCCTTCAGCGCAGCTGCCAAGAATGTATGATCCCTATGACCCTACCTAGCTAGCAACTACTCTAACAAATAAATAAATGAATATAAATTCCTCTAGGGTTCTAAACTTCTGATATTTTATTTTGGTCTTATCATTTTCTTTTACATTCTCAAAATTCCAATGCTAAGGTTGGTATCAGCTGTGAAATATGGTGTATAATCGTCAAGATTATTGTTAGCAGAAAGACAAGATTTTGAAAACTTATTTTTGGGTCATTGTAGTATATCATCTGGTTTATCATATTACAAGCTTCAGCAGTACACACAATGACCCATATTTCTCTCATTTATAGAAATAAGATTAGTTTAGACCCACTCATCTTTTCCCAACTAAGTAATGAAGCTTCATTTTTTTAACCAAGTACTTGTTAGCTATCTATAGGGTTGAACGTTTGACGAAAAGTGTAAATGATAAGTAGAATTTTCAGTTGATTTCGGTTTGTTCTTGTGTGTGTGTGACCGATGGGGTGTGTTTGTATTGTGTATATATGTGTGTGTCAGTGGGCCCACTTCCCTCACATACACTATGGTCTCATGCCTGATCAGACTGTGAAGAAGACAAATGTGTGCCAGCAGGTAACTTATTATGCACCCTCTTCTTCCTGCAATTTGTTGCAGACGCAATGATGCATTTTTTATGGCAAGCTCCTGACTTTGATATCTATATACATATCTGAGTCTCTCGTGTCTTTTCTTTGTGTCCGTCCAGGAACGAGATGACGACGTTTGCATCAAAGATGGACTTTTCTCCTCGGCTAATGTTGGTGTTTCTCCCTATTAATTTACATCTCTACTGTCTTTTCATCATCCTATTAAATGAAGATCAATGTTAACAGCAAATCAAAAATTAAGTCCAAAAGTCTGCTTAGCCTCATGATGATGATGATGAAGGTCGTGGTCTGATGTGGATAATCAAAGACTACTCTACTATATATCATCGTATTAGTGCTTTTGGAATGTGCATGCATGTAGCTTGTCTTTATTATTAGTAGCAGAACTATCTTTGTCCATGAATTTTCCCAGCTAATTAACTATTTTCAGTTCATCCATGATTAGCCATCTTGTATCTTTGTTATTCTCTTTTATTGCACTTATATTACACGCGTGTTGATTATAGATCACTTTGGAAACGTTCAAAATCTTGTGATCGATCTAAATGAGTCTATATTAAATAACTAGGTTTTCATCAGTTGCTGTGAATTGGAATCTGATCATGTGCCAATGCACTAGTCTGATATAGAAGGATATACTCTATCCGTTTGATTCTATTTATGAATTATTTTTAATATATTTTATTGAAATTAAAAAATTTAATATTGTATTTAAAGATTTAATAAGTTTTCAACATTTATCCTATTAATTATGTATATTTTATTAATAATGTACTATTTCTTCCCAATATTTAATGGGAAAAAATAAAAACTGTGTGATAAAAAGTTTAATGATATATCTTATAAATATGGCTATAAATTAACACTTTTTTTTATCTTATAAATAAAATCAAAGAGTATATAATGATTAAGTTTATTCTCTTTTAAGTATTAGGGTTGCATGGAATACATAAAAAAGTCATTTAATTTAAGGAAAACATAATCTTTAATTTTTATAGGTTTATTAGGTTTTATTTTTAGTTCCTTTAGTTTTTTTTAATGTTTTTAATCTTTATTGAGACTAAAACTGTTGAAAAAAAATAAAAACTATAGGGGCTTAAAAAACAAAAGTAATTTAATTTTTTAAAACTATAGGGGATTGAAAACACTAAAAAAATAAATTACAGTGACCAAAAATAAAACTGTATAGAATTATAAGCACTAGAGATTCTGCTTTTTCATTAGTTTAATGTACAGATGTGGAAATAAGTCTGATATAGCTAGTTTTACCTTTAATCAATGATTAAAAAATTGAATCGAACCAAATGATAGGATTAGTTGGACCGTCAACTGATCAGGCTAACGGCTTAATCAAGCCGAAAAAATTGTTTGAAGAGTTGGGACGGATTTGGCCGGTTTGGACCAACTATCAGATTGAAATTGAGATCAAGTCAAGAATCAGGTTCATTTTTAAAAATTGAACTGTTAAAAAAATGCCCTTTTTCTTTTTTTAATTTTTTTACAAAATAATTTTTTTAATCATTTAATATTATGTTGTATCATATGATTTGTTAAGTCATGATAAACTTAAAATATTTAGTTTTATTTTTAAATTAAGTAGTAATTTTATATTTATTTTATATGTAGACTATTATATGAATATAAATTTTTTTAATTTAATGATTATTTTATTTATTTAATTATTAATTTAACTTAGTTGGATTATGTAAATTGTAAATTGTTAATTTTTTTGATTTAATATCTGATCTTATTTTGAAAACATTATCTCTAATATAATGTAGTGTTATAATGAAAATTGAAATGAAATTAAAACGTGAATTCAAGTCTACCTCATAGGGCCGTGTAGGAAAAGACAAGTTTTGTCGCTTGAATTGACTTGATCATCTCATCCATTACCTTCTTATTTGTCGATCCTAGCAATTACTGCCAACCGTCAATACCCTAAACTACTGTTGAGGAATATGCCTACGATGTGGATTGCATATATATGAGAAACCCAAAACACAAGTCTTTAACTTTGCAATACAGATCGTATACACGAACATTAGAAATGAATTACATTGTTTATGTTTATTTCTCATAAATAATAATCACATTTAAAGATTTTATAAAGTAAAATTTTCAGCATGTATAGATGCATTTTCCGACAAAGAAAAAAAAAATGAAAGTCTTTCAAGATAAACTAGAGTGAGTTCTATATTTACTGCCAAATTCCTATATACACAATTGTTATAATTATTGTGAATCACATGCATGCAAGCCAAAAACATAGGAAACCTATCTTCTTAGTGTACTAATACAATAAATAAAATCCTATCAAATCTAACAATTGGCATAGTAGATGTTAAATATAAATAAAATAAGACTTAATTTAATTTAAATTAACAAAAATGACAATGTATAGTATGGCTTAAAAAATGAACTTGTAAGACCCCCTCATTTGAGCTTCAGATAATATAATGCGTTTTATTTCATAGGCTAAACTTTATTCACGTCTTGACATTACATTGAAAAAAACAAAATCGACATCATGGTACATTAATTATATTCACGCGACAAACATAAACATGCACTTGATGGGTGGGTCATGTTATTTTTGGGGTGGGGGGGGGGAATTAGATACTTAATTTTATGTATTTTATATATTTGTTTTTAATTAAATTAAAAAGTTTGAATTTTTATATATTATTTATTCTATAGAAAACTCGTTATAATTAGTATTTTTTATATTGTAAAATATATTTGTTTTTATTTAAATGCATAAAATTATATTAGTTATATAAGGTTAAGTGTATAGGTTTTTTTTTCTTTCCAATTTCCACACTGTATGTGATTGGGAATCGAACAGTGATTAGCTTGTTTGTACATCATGATAATGCCCAGGACGCTTCAAAGTGGCTCATATATATAATAAATTTTAGAGAAAAATGGAGAGATTTAATTAAAATAATTTGAAAGCAAAGTTAATTCAGTTTGAGAGAAAAAAGAGTGAAATTAATGAAAAAAGAAATGAGTGGTGAAGAAAGGATAAGAGTATAGTGGGAATGGTGGAAGGGACCCAATGAAGAAAAAAGCCTAAAGATGCGGAAAAGACCCATTTGATGATTTGTTCCTTCGGCTGCAGAATCTTCCTCAGACAAGATCCGCACTCGCTGGGCTATATCTACATCACATCCTCTCATCCTTCACACGCGCACACAATTTTTTGTTTTATTTTCTGGGTTTTAAAAGAGAAAATGATAACAAAATTTTTTTAAATTATATAAATAATAATTTAATTTTTTTAAATGTCATAATTTTATTAAATTTTTAAAGAAAATTTTATTAAAATTTTTAAAGAAAATTTTATCAATAAATTTTAAAATAAAAAATTATTTTATCTTTATTAATAAATTATACTTTCTTATTCAATTATTGCTATTCTTTAATTTGAATAAAAGTTGTGAATGTGGTTTGTTATTTTGAAAATTTATTTTTCAATAATAAAAATTACACTTAATAAATTATAATTTTTTGTTCAATTATTGTAATTTACAAAACAAAAATTGTTATTTCTTAAGAAAAATTATGATTGGGATTTGTTTTTTAATAACAGAAATTACATTTGATAAGCTGTAAGTTCTTGTTCAACTTTTATAATTTATAAAATAAAATTTGTAACTTTTTAAATAAAAGTTTTGATTGGGGCTTATTATTTTTAGTAAAGATAAAATAATCTTTTTACTTTAAAATTTATCAATACAGAAGTCTCTAAAGATTTCATTAAAATTATGGTATTTTAAAAAATCAGATTGTCATTTATATAATTTAAAGAGATTTTATTATCATTTTTTATTTTAAAATCAAACTGGATGTTAAACTAGAAAGATAAATGGGTTTCAGTTTTTATTTTTTATTCCCTCCGTTCCTATATATAAAGTGTTTTTAACTAAATCCTGCATACTAATAAAAAAATGTTATTTAGTTGAATTCACATTAAAATATAATAATTTTCCAATTTTACCCCTTGTAATATTGTAATTAATATCATTATAGTGGTAGGGAAAACATACAATTAATGATTTATTTTATTTTTTAAGATAAGGGTAAAATTATTTAATTAATCAAAAATATCATTACCACTTCTTATATTTAAGTACAAAATAATTTTTTAAAAAATATCTTATATATAGAGATGAAGGGAGTATAATCTAATCAATTAGGTGGGAGTCAATTACTGATAATATAATAACTAAATAAAAATAACAATAAATCCATAGTTTTTATAGTTATTAATTATAAAATAACATACATAACTGTAAATCTTTTTTCCCCGGCAAAACTATAAATCAATAACGTTATACATTATAATTTTATAATTTATCAAATATAGATGAATTTTAATTAAATTAAGTAAGAGTAAATTTAAAAATATTTGCATTTACACCTACATATAAGCTATAGCTATCAACACCCATTTCGGAGAATACTACAAAATCATTATATAACTGTCAAGGGTTCAAAAATGAAGTTAGCTTTTAGTAGGGTCTTATTTTAAAATTTTTTGTTTGATTTTTTTTTTAAATTTTTAGCCTTTTATATTATAGTTAAGCTTGTTCAATTTTCTAAAAACCATTGTGGTTCCTAGGTCCACTCCTTTTTTTTGGCTCAGAGACAAATAAACTATTGTCCAACCCAACTTAACAATGAAAATGAATTTTTCATCTAAACTAAGCAGTCAATTACTTCTGGCCAGTTTTTAAAACAAAGTTTATTTATAAAATATAAAGAGAGATTTTTTTAATACTATTTATAAGTCATATCATTAATTTTTATTATAAATTTCTTCTTTTACTTCTCAATAAATATTGGTGAAAGAAAATACGTCATTAAGATATATATATTTAATGGAGTTAAAAGTTAAAAACTTGTTAAATTTTTGAACATAGTTAACGAATTTTAATTTTTTAGTCTCAATAAAATATATTAGAAGTGACTTTGAATTGAATAGAAGAGAATGTGTGTACACACACAATTATCTTTCTAAATATTATCACATGGCACTCTAGTCTACTACTGTTCATAAAAAAACAATCAAGCGTGGTGTCATGAGGTGTGTCAAAAATTGTTTGTGTGTGAACAACAAATACTAGGTGTGCCAAAAATACTGAGTCTCAATTAATAATAAAAGGGTTCCGAACTCCTTTACTACAATTCGCTCAAATGTAAAAGATATGCAAGACTTGGTAGAACAATTATTTTTTATTTTTATTAAAATTTGAAAAGATTATAAGTCTAAATTAAAGGTAAAAACTAACTGTTAAAACTAAAAAGCTATGAGTGTAGAACGTGAGTCTTTGTTAAATGTTGACTGTCTTTCTTTTATATTTTCGTATCCTATTTATAGTGTCAATGTGGTGGAAGCCTCTCCCTTAAAACTTAGAACGTTTTGCTGAAGA